TTGCATTTTTTTTTTTTTTTTTTTTTTTTTTTTTTTTTTTTCCTTCCTCATTAGTAGTAGTGTTTTTACACTCGCAAAATGTGCATGTCATCGCAAATATTGTAGCAACCTGGTAAAAAAAAAAAAAAAAAAAAAATTGGACCCTCGTCTGGGGCGCACATATGGACATATATTTTTACACTGAAGAGTTTAAAAAAGGAAGTTAACCAAGAAGACCATGTACACTGATGTATGACTCGAATGTGCATACGTAAAAATACGTAAAAAAACGTAAAAATACTTAATCAAGCAGGAAGTGTTTTTCTTTTTTTTGTGTGTGTCCATTGAGGATAAAAACGCTTGAGCGATTTGTCAATTTGGGGGGGATACCAACAAACGAGCAAACGCCTTCGTGTTATTTTAGTGTGAGTCCTCGAACAGGGTTCACTTGTTAAGAAGTCACTTCCTCAGTAGGAGTTTTTACCTAGGCGGGTGCCTGTGTACACCTGTGTGTGTGTGAATGTCCTTCTAGAGGGGAGGGGTCAACACGGTTGGTGCATCGGCAGAGTTACGCGTCAAAGAAGGTACAAATATATTAAGTACAGGTTAGAGGCGAAGAAGGGAAGTCGCAACAGGTAGATAGCCGGACAACACATCAGCGGAAAGCTACTTCTTCCCCCCCGCAGCCTCCACTACACACGCGCGCATATATATAATGGAAAAGCAGGGCGAGGTAGCGCACGCGTGCGTAGAGGAGCAGGAGCGAACGCTCCCGAAGAAAAAGTACAGCAATTTGGTGAAGATAAACAAACAGGAAATAGAAGGACGCGAAAATAAAAATGACTTGCTGTTAGAAAAGAAGGAAGAGAGGAGAGGAGGTGTGGAGTTGTTCCCAGTCATGGTGGAGGAAACGCCTTCCCTTGAGTTGAAGAAGCTTCGAGAGGGTATATGTAATTTTGAGGATGGAGCGGACGACGTTATGATGAGCCTATGCATGAGTAAAACTCCGTGCAAAAGGTATGACGATGATATGCTGTGTGAGAGCACCAACAAGTATGTAAAAACTTATAGCAGCAAGAAGAGAGTTTATACACCTAGAAAAGGGAATAGGGGTAATTTGTTTCAATTTGAAAATGAGGAAAGGGACAGAGCTTCCATGTTTAGTACTCCCAAAAGGAAGTATACAAATAAGAGGAAGATGAATGAAATGTTGAAGCATCTTGATAGTGATGAAGTCACGAACAGGAGTGTGATGAAGAGAAGAAAAAAAAAAAAAAAAAAGTCCATTTATGATGAGCTGGTCTACTTGTATACCCCTCGCAGGGAGAGAAGCAATTATGGCGCAAATGTATTGGACAGAGAAAATGGGGTGGACTCTGTCAATACGATCAATCTGGCCGATGCAGAGTATTTAGCCACCGCCGCTGCTGCAGCAGACAAGTGGCAAATGCAACAGGCGAACATGCAAGAGTTGCCAGAGTACATAAGGAATGAATACATTTCATACTTATGTAGCCCTTTGAAGAGAAGCGAGCGGTTGATAAAATCGAGGATAAATAAAATGCTAAACGAAAACGTAGGGCAAGAGAAACAAGCGAATTGTGAAGGAACAGAAAGAGACATGAATAGCAACAACACGACGATCTACACGTCCAGCTACTCAGCATTATCAAGGAGTGAATATATGCATTGCGATTTTGAACCAGAAGAAGAAGAAAAGTGCTGGGATGATTATTACACACAAGGAAACGACAAAATAAAACCATTCACAGGAATATCAACAGAGCTAGCTGTGGATATGATAACAGAGTTATTAAGATCAAAGGTGAGGAAAATCGTTGTGGATGAAAAGGAATATTTTTCTCCCATTACAGAACATGATACCGTTATGGAGATAGGGCATGGAAATCATCCACTGGCTGTTCAGATGTTTGAGAAGTGGGGTACAGTTGGAAGGTACATGGGAGTAGAGTTTAGTGGGTTGGCTAGTAGGGAAGCTTTAAAATGTGAAAAATTGAAAAAACTTTTTTTGAAGAGAAAAGTTGAATTCGTAAAAATATTAAGCATGAAATATTTTAAAGAAGATTATTTAAATGGTCTCGTAGTTCAGTCAAATATCTCCCCCTGCAATACCAAGACAGACTTTGTAAAAATGAATAGCTTTAAATATATTTTTGCAAAAAGTACCTTAGATTATATTACGTGTAGAATGGATAATATTGGAAATAGTTGTGACTGGGAAGAGGATTTGCAAATATCTCCTTCCGTCGTGGACATGTTTGATAGTCTGGCAGACTCTTTACAGAATTCTAAAAGTAATAGCAACAGATGTAACTCTTGTATCATTTTTGTTGAACCCAGTAATTCTTCCAAATTCCGAGATCACCTTTTGACCATATTTAAGGCCATTTATACAGCCACTTTTAAGTACAGTAGTGCGGCAAAATTTTTGCGCCTCAGCAAAATTACCAACAGCCCAAAGGCTTGTGGCTATATGATTGAGAAGAGGAATGAGGTGTATCGGGACTTTGAGGAAATCAGACAGGAGTTCCTCAGGCTTATCATTAAGGCCTGTGTCACGAAGAACGTGGACGAGGTCGACTGGTACTTGCCGAGTGAGGCACCTAAGAAGTGGGTCAGTAGCAACCCCGCCGATATCGAGTACCTCGTCAAGCTGGACTGCCACAGCTTCTGATGGGGTGAAGCGGTGAAGCAGCGTAGCGGCGAAGAGAAGCGCAGCGTGAGTGTTCTTTCCCTTGTTGACACTCTCATCACAGTCGCCTGTTGGTCACCCCTCTCGTCTGCGCAAACGAATATAAGGGGATGATTTCCCCACAGATGCGTAACTCATTATGTACCTCCCGAAAGGGGCTTTTTGTCCACCCCACCACCATCCAGTCGCCACCTCCTCTCACTTTGCCCCTTTTACTTCCCACCCCGCAGTGGTATTTAAATTGTGGTAGTTGCCCCTCTCGCTCCCATTTTGCACAAGTGGCGTATGCGGTACCGCAGGAGAGGGAGGACACCCATCGTCCACATGAAGGGAGAATGCCGTTGTATAGTTATATGCATGTGCATGCTTGCCGAAGTGGTTCAACTTCGCACGACTAACGGTTACACAACTCCCGTGGGTGCCGAATGTGTTTGCGCAAATGCGTTTCACGGGGGCAATTATACCCCATTCGGTTTTGTTTATTTGGTTTACTCCATTTATATATGTATACATTTATCCATTTTTTTTTTTTTTTTTTTTTTTTTTTTTTTCTTTTTTTTTTTTTTTTTTTTTTGTCGTTGTGCATCTCGCGCAGATCGTTATGGAGCTGCGCCTGCACATGGAGGAGGGGTGGACATGGGTAAGTGGAACAACGATATTATCATTTTACCTAATTTTTTTTTTTTTTTACCCTTCGTGAAATGTGCAAAATGGCACTTAAGCGAAGTGGTTGTTGCGAATGGGGGGTTAGAGAAAAAAAAACGTTGCTTCCTGATCCCACTCATTTTTATTTTTATGCAAAAGTGGCTAAAACAGCGTGCACACACGCGGGGGCTAGTCCATGGACAGCTCACACACACCACAGGTACTGCATCTTTGTTTGACTTAACCACATTTGGAACAAACTTATTACCTGTCCGTTTGGCCAATTTTTTAAAGTGCCTTTTCGCTAAGAACTGATCAGTCACAAATGTGGAAGCGGGATCTATTTGAGAGGAAAACTCTGTGTTACTTCCTTTTTTTTGTTAACATTCAATTTTGGGGGAAAAAAGTGCATGGGGAGAGGAGAAGCCAATTGCTTGCGCTCCCCATGAGGCGCAAAATGGGAGTGCATATATACCCTATGGGTGTAGGCCACGAGAGGCAATGTTCCTCCTCATGTGCACCCTGAATGTGAGAAGTGAACTGGGTGGATAATACTCACACGATTGATCAAATGAGTTTTTTATTCGGATTTTTTCTTTGCCGTTTTTTGTGAAAAGAATTTTATTTGTATAAAAATGGCCATGTCCCTTTTGGCACCTTACATCACATAGAGGTATTTTTTTTTTTTTTTTTTTTTGTGTGCCCCTCTGTACACCTTTGTACTTTTTACGTCGACATAACGTTGCTACTCTATGCAACAAGGAAAGCAGAGGATGCCATTTCTCCACAGGCTTGCCAAATCGGAATATGTCACCATGTCCCATTTGTTCATACCTCCAGTTGGTTTTTCCCTTTTTTAGGAAAATTTAAAAAAGGGGAAATATAGGGAGGACCATCGCCTACGTTGACATGTGTACAGGGCGGAGAGGAGGAACCTGCGCTAAGGTTGCTGCGGGCGCTACATACAATAGGGACGCTGCTGCTTTGCCCGTTTGAGCCATTTAAAGAGGACACCCCCCTGACAGCAGCAGCTTCAGTGTTTGTATTCCCCTCTTCCCAGTTATATCCCTGTGAACCCTTACATATATGCGTAGCGACAACATAAGTGGGTGGGGGCCTCCAACTGCGTGTGTGTGTGTGTGTGTGTTCGCGTGTGGAGGGGAAGCACGCATCCGTACGTCCAACATGGACATGACTAAGCGTTGGAGCTGTACCCAAGAAACTCAGTTACATTCATGTGTAGAAATAATCTGAACATGTTTTCGTGTCAAACGAAGGGAAGAACGGTTCGAAATTTTTTAAGCTTTTTTCTTCTCGCGTTTTTTTTCTTTCCCGTTAGTTATGGCTTCACTGTGCCGCATGGGGACCGCAGGTAGGCACGTGCTTATCACGTCGAGTGGAATTTCCATGCGAAATGCACTTTTGGTTTTTAATTAGCGTAAACCGATGATGCCGGCATCTTTTTTCCCCCCTCCCACTTCTCAGCTTAATTGCCAATGGCGGGTGGACAAAACAAAACAACCGATGCGGAGTGAAGAAAATAAACCCGAGAAAGACAAACGAGAAAAGTGGGAGGAAACTTTACTCTATAAAAATAACACACTTGACAGAAAATAAAATCCCAGAGGAGTACTTCAAGTACAACCTGCCTCCCGAGCCGATGTAAGTGTGCATGCGTATGGTGAGTAGTCTCCCTCTCCCTCTAGCCCTCTTGCTCCTTTGCTAGTAGCCTACATTTGTGTGTCCTATACACATTACAAACTTATCTGGATAATCCCTTCCAAACACTTCGCATCTTATTATACCCCATTTACTACCCACCAATGTTTGTGTATTGTTTTTTTTTTTTTTCTGTACCCCTCCACTGGCAGATACCCATACATCACCGTCCCTAACAATCTGTACACGAGGCAAACAAAAGATGAGGAGCCTCCTCCTGATGGACACCCCCCCCCAAGTGGAGGAAATGAATTGGATGATGAAAAATATCCTGAAAATTCAGCACAGATAGGAAAAATGTCTTCTGAAGAATTCTCAAAATGGAATGAAGAAAAAATAAAAAAAATGAAAGCGTTGCCTGAACCAACCATAGAAGATTATATTGAGGATACACAATTTAAGAAGTATGTCCATCCTTGTTTGATTAAAAAGGTGTCTCAAAAGGACAGGAACAAAGTGCATCATTCTATATTGTCTCTTATTGACCCAAAGGTAGAATTTTCTGTAATTGACTGTTTTGGTGAAAATGATGAAGAAAATGACCTCACGGAATATGACGCAGCTTTTAGGGGTATAGCACCTTGGCCCACCACAGATGAATTAAGAAAAAATGAAAATGATTACCAATTTGAGAAAACTGATCTCGAGGTGGAATACAATATAACGTATGACAAAGCGGGGTACCAACAGTTTAGGCATAAGCTTCTTGCGGAGCAGCTGCAGGGTAGTGGAAAAGAGGAGAATATAGCTGGGGGAGAAGAAACTACTGGGACGAAAAATATAACTGATGAAGAACTTGTTAAGGGGCAATTGAAAGCGAACTCCCCGCCACCTGTATCCGTTGAAGACATAAGAAAGTTGTACTTCAAGAAGGAGGTCAAAACGCTGAGGGAGGCAAAGGAAGAAATGGTCAAATGGGCAGAACGAAAAACATCCTCGAGGAGCACATGGACTTTGACGGAGGAAGAACTGAAGTTGCTGCCGGAGAGGTTCAGGCGATTATACCATCAGAAGAGAAGGGAAAAGTTGGAGCAGGCCAGGGAGGCTAAGCGGAAGGAGGAGGCGCGACGGAGGGGGCAGCTCCAGGACGAGTTCTCCTTGTGGGATGAGGGGGGCCTATCCAGCATAGAGCAGTTGCGTGGAGAGGAGTGCGGCAAAATTAGGTGCGAGACGAGCCGTGAAATGAGTGACAAGACGAGTGACGAGATGAACAGCGAAAGCAGCGTAGATGGGCTGCCGCACCAAGAGGATAACCCCCCAATCAGCGACGAGCATAATCTGCACAATGTCAGATTACTTGAAGACAACGTGCTGTACACAAAGGCCAAGTCGCCAGTGGAAAATATGTTATACGAGTGGGATGATTCGCTGAGGTGCAAATGGAGAAAGAGAGCTGAAGAAGTGATACGCGATGTCATCATGTATGATTATCCTATGAAGGAACTGAGAAGACCATCAAAGTTAGACCTTTACGATGTGACATGGTATGCGGGGAAGGTTGAAGTGTTTGTCATTCCAGACGAAACGCAAGGGAAAAATTATAAAATTACATTATTTGATTTGAAGCAGCTGGTCAAAAAAATTGCAGAAAGGTTAAAAGAGCTTGAAATCGATGAAGAAATTATTATTTTGCCATTTTTTGAATTAGTTGTTTCGTCTCTGCCCAGTAAAAATATTCTTGTGTGTAGGAGGGACTGGTGTAATCATGCTGGGAAGGAGGTGACCGTCTTTTTTAAGGAGAATATGTTTCCTCCTTTGGAAGGTATACTTCTAGGATCTCCTAGCGTCTTTCATTTAATTATAAATGTTAATTATGAACGAATAGAAAATTTAGATGTTCATACGATTGATAAGGTGATTCTGAGGGACACCAAGGATGAACTTCGAGGACACATTGTGCTGAAGGCTGCAATGGAGAACCAAGTGGGGGGAAAAGCTGAATCTGTTGGAGGGGCCCCCAGTGGGGACGTTTCAGACAGCAGCAATTTATCTTCACCTGAAGGAGAGCCCGAATCTGCTGCACCTCTGGAGGGGGATAATGAAGAAGACGAAGGGGTGGTCACCAGGAAGACAGGCTTTGATGAATTGCAAAAGTTGAAGGACATCGAGCGGGTGAGTGCAACTACTCTGAGTGGTGGTCAGCTTCGCAATAAGCAGTTGCGTAGGGATGAGGGTGCCGACCCGGTTCAGGGTGAAAGCAGCGCGCGTACAGACCTCGATGGCATCAGCCCAGTTAGCGGCATTAACCGATTGGGAGAAGATGATGACGCAGCTAAGATGCGAAAGCAGGCCCTCGAGGAGGAAGAAGAGGACGACGACGAAGAGGATGAAGACGAATCCTACGACGATGTCGCTGATGATGGGGACATTTATGGGGTTGAAGATGATGAAGGTGGCTCTGACGAGGGGGAAGACTACGGAGACGATGAGGATGATTACATGCCAGAGGAGTGAGCGTAACGGTCCCTTCTATTTCGCCAACAAACACAACTGAATGGAGAACCTCCCTACAGGCATGTGAAGAAGTGCCCCAAATGGGGGAGGTGTTGGGGGGTACCCCCGTGTCGAATTAGGCACGACGGATAGGTTGACCTGGCCTCTAGCCGTTGGGCATTTTTAAAGGTGCAAAAAGGGTTTTTTAAGGGGATTGTGTGGAAGGAAAAAAAAAAAACGCGCACAAATATACACATGTGCATACGAATTCGCAAAGGAACGATCGGCAAAGCAAATAAATGGCGGTACAAACGCGATGGCAAGCAGATATACATATACGATGAGCCTACGCAACGTAGCGGAAGGGAGGGCGCAGGCTCCGCAAAACGATGTCCATTTTGCGCACAAAAGCACGGGCATTTTCCACATGCCTAAACGAACTCAGCTGCTGATAATAGGCATCACGCAGGAGGGATAAGTACTTCTCATTGGACAAATAAAAATGTAAAAATTGCAAAAAAAAAGAATGCACACTCTTCCTCGATATTGTTGTGTTGGTAAAATTATATCGTATTAACATTTGGAAAAAAAGAATAATCTGAAAGGAGCTAAGAGTAGACATATAATAATTTGCACATGTTAAAATGGAATAAATATTATTATAATGAATGAGATCTTCTTGTTCCCAATGGTCAATAAAAATTTTGTATTTTTTTTTATTTTCATTTAATGTAGCCAATTCATTTCTTCTTTCGTATATTTTTTTTATTTCGTTTTTAATTATTTCCCAAATTTTATTTTCATCTGATGTGATTTTTTGAATTGCTTGGTTTAGGTTAATGTGTGGATGAATGTCTAAATGACTTCTCACCAATTGTATGTTGTTTTCGCTTAACGATAATGTGTACTCATTGGCTGGGTTACTTTGCTCACTCTTGGTGAAGAAGCAAAAGGTTGTGACGCTCCCACTTATTTGGCTTTCATTTTTTGCAATTGCTTTATCCCCCATTTGTAGCAGCGCATCGCCGTATTTGCAATTCGAGATATATTTTTCCTTACTCCTGTTGCTGTCCCTGGGACGGATCTCCTCACTCGCATTATTATTATTATTAGTGTAGTCACTTCGTACAGACTCTGAACCTGTGGGGTCTTTCCCAATTGCGTCTTCCAAAAAGAGGGGATACTTGGACACTCCCATGTATTTCGAAAGGACGCTAGGCACAGAAAGAGGCAGAACTGCCTGTGGGGGCATCGCCGTTCGTGGCATTATTGACACACCCCTAGAGGACCTTGCCCCGATGGCCTCCACTCCTTGCTGCTCGTAATTCTTTACAAAGACTTCCATCTCCTTCTGCAGCTCAGAGCAAATTTCACCATATGTCGTCACGTCGTAAAATATGAGAACAACATTTTTGTACTTTTTTTTATACTCTTCCAAATTATAGAGGGGGAGGAGTGGCGAGATGTAGGTTGCTACTTTGGACCCACCTTGTGGGGGAGTGCATATCAGCAGCACGTCGTTTGGAAGCTTGACCCCATCGAGAGAGTAGTTGTTGGAGTACAGCTCGTGGGCGTGTGGAACGGTTTTTGCAAAATCAGCCTGAAGGTGATTCAACAAATGGCTTTTCCCGTCCCCTGAACAAGCGAGGGCTAACCATTTGTGGAGATCGCGGAACAGATCCAGCATCTCCGACTTGGCGCCATTCGAACAAATGATAAAAAAATGCTCATTTTTGTGAATCAAGTTGGTTAATAAATTTTCATACAGGACAGACTGAATAATTTCTCTCCTGCCTGCGTCCTTCTCTCCAGAGATGCAAACCTTCTGTCCGTAATTTATTTTTTTAAATAGGTCTATGAGTAGTAAATTTGTGTGGAGCTGCTTGATGGCTACTCTCTCATGGTAGGTCTCCTTCACCCTATCCCTAAATATGTTTAGCTGCTTAGTTGGCTCCTTTGCTAAGAGGTAATTCATGTACTCGAAAGGGGTATACACATTTGTTTCCCCCTCCTGTTGGTATAGAAGTTGGGTTGTATGTTCTTCTACCTCAGCTTCTGCCCCCTCGATGCAGCCATTTTTCTTCACCCTACCCACCACTACGCTGTTCTTATTAATTTGGAGTACTACCCCATAGGAGGATTGATCTAGCTTCAAGACGTTTCCGATTTTTTTCAATTCATCCCTGTCCTCATTCAGTATAATTATTTCCTCATCTTCAATTTGTCTGTTCCTTTGAGTCGATAATGGGTACTCTTTAAATACATTACTCAATTCTTCTTCGAATATGTTAGGTATGGATCCATTTTGTGAATTTAGTTTAGTATGCGTGTGGATGAACGTACCTCTGTCGCTGCTACGGGGTCCTCTTAAACAGCGCCACACGGGGGAAGTCAACGCACTACTATAATGCTTCTTCGAGGGAGGATGCACAATGAAGTCTATGCATAGCGACTTGGGGCGAAGAAGGTGCTTTGACTCTGTAAATTTTTTTACTATCATTCTGTTGGTACGATGAGTGGTGTGTGAGGAGGATGCACCTTGACCGGCATGCTCTATCGGAAGTGTGGAGTATAAACGGTTGGGCAGAAGTATTATTTGCATGAACTTAATGTGTTCCGCTTAATCTATCACCACGTTACCACGTTACCATGTGGCCATGTTGTACAAATAAGCCGTTACATGTGGCCTCGATGGGTACAGAGCTTAAATAGGGTGAAGGGGCGAGGTCAACATCAGATCAAGCCCCATTATATGTGCTCTATAATTTGCCGTATCCGCTGCTGTGTTTAAGAAGCTACGTTACGTTACAAATATATTTGCTACTAAGGAAGGGAAAACAAAAAAAAAAAAAAAAAAAAGTGCCCCATTTGGCGTGCTTGAAAAAAAAAAAAGAGTATCACTCATAGAGGCATTTCACATCACGTTGTTTTGGTACTGTTCCATTCATGCATTGATTTGGAATTTTTTTTTTTTTTTTCGCATTTCGTATTTTACTAGGATGATGGGTAACCCCGTTGCTTTTTATGCACCCCACAGGGGAGGAGAAAAAACGGGGTGCACCACATTTAGTGGATGAATTTCTCAATAGGGGGCACCATCTCGTAATAGGCCAACCCTGAACGGATATCACATGGTGAATGTGTCACTGGGGGGAAAATCGCCCCAGGTGTAAATTCTTCATAAGTATTGTACATATTATCATCCGTGAGCACAGACGGGAGGATCGTTTACGTCCGCGTATAACTCGTTACAATTCATAGGAGAAGAACACACCGTGGTTAGGCACTCATGTAAAGTTGTCTCCATGAGATAGGAACAGATGCAAAGGATCTAGACGTCCTCCCCCTTACGATACGTCTACTTTGGTGACAATACCCACATGCTCCTCAACATACACCTGTGCACCATTTTTGCAAAAAAAAAAAAAAAAAAAAAAAAAAAAAA